CATCGCCGTGGCACAGCAAATCCACTGCGCATACTCTGCCGCTGCGATCAGTTTCCCATTCTGGAAACACAGAAATTTCCTTATCTTTGCGAATTAGAACTGCTGTGCCAGCGCTATGTGAGATAGCGTTAGAGTGCCGGAAGTGAAAAAGGCGCTCAAAGAATTTAGTTGCGTGCTCTACATGTCCGGGCGTGAGCTTCGTTTCCTGCAGGAGCGCAACATCCGCTCGTTCTTTGAGGAGGGTATTCAGGAGCCATTGCTTGCGCCTCTGGACAATCAAGCTGACGCAATTTAGCGTTTCAACTTTCAGATTATACATCGTTTAGAAATAATGTGAGCGTTAAAAAGGACTGAGGCAATCAAGAATATAACCTACAGTGAGTTGGGCTAACATCGGTCATCAGTTGGTCCTCGGGCTTTGATGGTGCGACTTTTTCTGGCTTTTACCGGTTGCCATGGCGGACGCTGGAGTGGCGCGTCTGAGTCGTCCTCGCCCTCGGTGTATTCACTCTCTGCCAGATCCAGGGGTCGCTTTCCAGTGGTTCCCTCTATAACGTCCATAGTAGTTTCGTCAAACTGTCCGTTGTCTCCGCCGCGCTTCGTCAGCGATGACTTGGTATCCTCCGCTGCCTGCATCAGGTGGAAATCGATGGTTTTGCTTTCCTTCGTCACCAATGCCGAAGCTGCTTCCGTTGAAGGCACGGTGAGCGGCGGATACATGTCGCTTGATTCCGCAGTGCTTGAGGATGGCCGCTGAGTGGGTGCAGCGTCCGTGGACTTTGTTTCTCCCACAGTCGCCTCGGCCTCAACCTCGTCCATTAAAAGTTCAGAGTTGGGATCCTCGCGCTCCACGTTGGTGACTGTTGCGTAGGTTTGCACGCAGTCCTCTTTGAGGTGGCCAAATCGTCGACACGAATCACAGCGCGGCGCCCGACAGTCTCGACGAACATGCCCATTCCTCCGGCAGCGCAAGCACATAGGTGCCCTACCTGGGACGATGACAAGCGTGTTGGCGTTGAGAATCCGCAGCTGGTCGGGCAGTCGTTCTGTCGTTACGCCGTCCTTGAGTTTGAGGCGTACTCTTCTTGTGGTCGTCTCAACGCCGCTGAAGCCTTCTTCGCGCCAGGTCTCCCTTTCCACACCTTCCACCTTTCCAAACGGCTCGAGTGCCTTCCGAAGGAGGTCGTCTGGGACTTCAGTGGGCAGCCAATGAAGCTTCAGTCGCACTTCGGCTCTGTTTGGATCCAGAACAAGGCAACGCCTACCCTTAACTTGGAGCTCCTTTGCCTCCAGTAGCTTGTGCTTCGAGGCCAAGGAGTGGAATGTGACCGCCCATAAGTGGTTCATCTGGTACGGTCCACACGCCTTCAGGTCCTGCAGCACACCTGTGGTCTCGAGTCCTGTCTTGAAGTCCGCAATCCTATACGGCCGTCCGGCGATGTCACAGTGAAGGAACAGGGTGTTTGAAAAAGCAACACCCCTTGGTAGGGCAGGCATCACAATCTGATAATCCTGGGACACGTCGTCAGCAACAAAACCGCGGCTCGAAAGGGCCGTTATCTCCGCTCTATCGGAGCGAGCCATCCTTGCGTCCGTACTCGCTGAGTGCCGGACACAGAATGTCTTAACCCCTATGCCATGCCACCGCTTTGGAAACTCGATTTGACTATTCGCTTTATACGAGATGCTTCGTCTGCAAATGCAGTTAAGTCGTCAGCATGTAATGCAAAGCACTCGTACATCACTCGCCGTACTTCAGTTCTACTAACCTGCCATGTAGAGTACTTTCGCGTCGTAGAACGATCCTTTTGTTCGCGCGTCTCCGGCCCAGTAGACCTGGTACACCTTGTCGTCTTCAACTACACCGCTAAAGTCCCTTACATCGTCGGAACTCACAACAGGCTGGGTCTTATCGAGTAGAAATTCTACTAAAACATAAGACATTGTAGAGCCCGGGCAGGATCAACAGGTTGGAGCAAGCGGGCAAACAAAACGAGTCGAGAGCAATCGTTCATGAAAGCTCGGCGAAGCCTCTATGGGAAAAGCGAAGTGTCGTGTTTGGCGCTTCGGCAGACTTCTGATCAAGGTTGTCGGTCGGTTGCGTGTCATATCTCTAACGTCAGCGGTTTTATGGGCTCACGTCCCGAAATCGTTTTCTCGTGCATAGATTACTTTTCATATTCATAGATTTGACGAAATAGTGGTATCCGAACGAACTTTACGTCCTTTGACCGTACGTCTGTCTGCACGTCAAAGCGTTTTGACGTACAGTCAGAGACAGTCGATGTACAATCAGAATCGCCACCAAGACATCCTGATGGCATTTCGCGGCGGCCGACTGCCACCAGGAAACCATCAGAAAGCCGACAAGCGGAGTCTGACTGGAGTTTGACTGTCGGTCAGAGTAACTTGTTGGCCAATCAGACATGCTTGACGTACAGTCAGGCACAGTCAGCGATCCACTAGAAAACATTGACTGCCAAACAGGGTTACATTGATGGATTTTTCCTTCGGGTATATATATATATATATATATATATATATATATATATATATATATATATATATTGGCTCTGAGCTCGCTGGGTGACGTAGTTTAATCAACTCCATAATAACCTTGAGGTCTTCAACCTACACCACGCAGTCGTAATGCAGGGTTCCGGGAAGCAAAGATTTTCCAGTAAGAGCTTCGGCTCCATGTGCTCCCGGAGTTGTAGTGCCCTCACACAGACTCGGCCACCGAAATCCCCCTGTGTATAATGCCAATAACGTGTGCAACTACACATGTCTCAGTTTTGCGATTGGAAGCACGGTACAGAGGTTGAAACCTGGAGAGAGGAATAGGTATTGTGCAGGTAAACCCAAACTGAAAGCGATTTCAAGCTTTTTCAAAGGATTTCCTAAACCTTGTACGGAATGAAACCCTGTAGCAATGATCTTCATATTAAAAAAAGGAAACTTTGGAGAACTTGATACTCAGGAACAGAACGTAAGGGCGCAAGTTCAGCTGATGATAATAACCGTGTATGCGAAAAGCGCGTCTCACAAGCAATTGGGGCTTTTAATGCATAATGCGTTAAATGGCTGGCTCTCCTTCCTGTAACGCACGCTTGTAACGAAAGAGCATCAAACCAATGTAACGTCAGCGTTGGGTTGCAACTCGTCTCCTCGCTTATTGAAAACAGGTTCCAGCTGAACTCTGGCGCGGCCCTCACGTTCAGTTTGTGCCCAGCGCTAGCCTCCATAGCTAACGTGAATTGAAATAAATAAACTCGAAAATCGCTCTCGCACGTGCGAATCACCGACCCTTCTTTTTGGCCGAGGCGCTTGGAGCAAGGGACGAACCAGGCAGACGTGCGGAGGGGTCATATACCCCTTGTTCGTTTTTTAATAAAAAATATGCCTGGATTTCTGCTTGAAGATAAAGGACCTTGGTGTTCGTGAAACTACCGTGCTCATAGCGGTGGAATCGCGTAACTTTGACGGCTTTAGTTCTTCCTAACTTCTCCTCCTCAATTGTTTTTTTTTCTTTCTTTTAATATCACCACCTATATTTCTAGTACAAAGTAGCCAATCGGGACAAGTTCCCAGGTCAATCTGTGTCCTGCTCCTCCCTCCTTTCTTCCATCAGCAATGCACCGTTTTCTAGTTCAGCTACAGCAATGATACTTCTAGGGAAAAAGTGTCAACTCTAAAAAAAATCTGTTCTTGAAATGGTTTTTCACGCCCCAAGAACTCTTTCAACTCGCGAGGAACGGTTTCATGTCAAAAGCCCCATGTGAAATCCCCCACTGCAAACACCCCGTCCTTCTTGTCCCGCTTTCGAAAGCCGCCGTTTCGGAAGCCCACGACGCGAATCCCCCGTAACTAAAACAACTATAAGTGTGCACGCGAGCTTGTGTGACATAATAATGCCGTACGCGGGACTCACTCAAGGAACTGCTCTATAAAACTTCCCGTTCTTCAGGCGTGAGCAGAACGTATCCATGTCTTGGGACGTTAGAAGTGAAAACATACATTAAATATCAGTCACTGGCAAAACATTTAAAGTGAGAGTTTTTATGTAGGAAGCATTGAACCAAAGTTTTCGTCGACTCTGATGCACGCGGGGGTTCATAGTTCCGACGAAGCGGGTTATATAAAAATGGTTAACCCGAAGCTCATGGAGCCATACTTACTGCGGACAGCACCATATACCCATTCCATTTTTCTTACGTCGTTCTAAAAATATTTGTATCCATCTAGGTAGACTAAGGATATAATTCTACGTTTGAGTAGGCCTCTATGACAGCAGTGTGCATCGCTCGTTATGCAATTAAAGCAACTGGCCACTTGTACGTCATTTAATCTTTTTTTTTTTTTTGCGGTTAAAGTAAACCTTATTTTGTTTCTTTCACTTAAAAGACCCCTTGTAGACCCCCAGCGGATTAGGTTAAGACATAGAACAGTGATAGTGGAAGCGCGGAGAGGGTGGGAAACAGGCAGTGAGGGCGGGCTTCGCACGGGGCTAGTACGGGAAGGGGTAACTGTACACGGGGTTTTCGAAATGTGGGGCTAATGACGCGGGCCTCTTGCGGCAGGAATTCTGGACTCAAAGCAATGGTGCTAGACCTGTTCTTATCACGTCATGCAGAGTAGGACTGTTCAATAATTTGACTTCCAAGTTAGCCCGCCGTTTGCAAACCTCGTGCGTTTTTTTACCCGCAAATAGAGCCCTCGTGCTTTTATATTCCCCCGACCTCAACCAATCACGGCACAAGCTCGATTGCCTCGTCATCACGCTTTTTCTGGTTTGCCCTTTGATCGGCGTGCTGATTTCTGCATGTTTATACGTGAAAAATGCATTCTGTGAGACTTCCTTGCCGCATAGCAGAACTGGCTGCAGTGCATCATATCTATCAATTGAACGTTGAAACTTCCAACAAAACATGAACACGTGGCCCAACATGAATGTCACTGTCTTTTATTGCCAACTAGACATTCCCCCGGCGCGTTTTTGCATATAGAGACGGGAATTAAGTCATCTTGCTGAGGGGCATTCGGTGCCGACTCAATTGTAGATTCCCTTTCAGGAACGAGCTTTGTATCCTTGATGGCCGTAGCCATGATGACCGTATCCTGGACGACCATACCCGGCCGTACCGTATCCAGCCGCGCCATATCCAGCCCTACCGTATCCAGCCGCGCCATATCCAGTCACTCCGTAACCAGCGGCGCCATATCCGGACGGACCGTATCCCGCCGGCCCGTATCCAGTCGGACCGTATCCTGCCTGAATGTAACCGGCACGAGTGTATGGATCCCTGCCATATCCGTACTTCCCGGCGTATCCGTATGCAGGACCAGCGGCCGCGCCGTACGCCGATGCCCGGAAGGCGCCAGGGGCCCTCACGCCTGGCCCGCTAACCACAGGGTTGGCGTTGAAGACTGCGTCGGCACTCTGCCCTGGCGCCGTGCCGGGCTCGTTAGTTTCTACGGTGGCCCTGAATCCCCTGGCGTCGGCCACGTAGTTGACGCGGCGGAAGAGGCCGTAGGGGTCCGTGTAGCCGTACGAGCCGGTCCTGGAGTTGCTGGCGTCGGCGTCCTCCTTGTGGAACAGCCTGGTGCCGAACTCGTCCACCGTGTCGTAGCCGAAGCTGAACGGCACCGACGGCTGCAATGAAGGTTTGGGGAAGTCACATAACGCTGACGGAGGTAGTCGTCGTAGTAGTAAAGCTCAAACTGACAATACAAGTGAAGTGATCTCAAATGCCCCGGGATTGGCCAATGACATAGTAACTCTTGTGGCAACGTGAAGAGCTGGAAAGACCTCTGCTCAGCTTATCTCTCTTATCTCCATTTCCGTGATAGCGAGGGCAGCGACATCTGCTTCCTTTCTCATGCTTCGGCTGTTATCTTGTTCAGTCAACGTTTTACGTGCATTTGAAGACGAACATGCAGATTTTCTTACGGCTTTTACTCCCTCTTAGAACACGACAATAAATGATAACATTAAAAGGAAAACAAAAAAACGCCGACAGCTTTGTTCGCAATTTCAAGGTTGCTCTCATTGCTCAATAGTCTAATCTTCGCTTTTTGATAAGAGCATCTTCACCATGCACTGAATAACTCGCTTCAAATTTTGTTCAATTAGTGTCAATGACTGTAGGTGACATGTACAAGCTGTCCATTTCTCTGACAGAGAGCCGAGTACCGAACGTCACTTACGTAGGCGTAGTCGGCATATCCGGCCCCACGATACGGTCCGGGTCTAAGGCCTGACCCGAACGAGGAGTCTTCAGCATGAATGCTGGCAGCTGCCATGTACACGACGATCAGCTAAAAGAAACGGTAGTTTCGGGGAACAGCTTTAGTTGACGAACGAGAGTGCTAACACGACTCAATTTCTTCACCAAGCATCAGCACTATTGCGCAGCGCAGTGAAGGTTTTAGTGGTGCAGTCATCAAAATCGCGAATTAAATATCTGAAGGGCAAAGTTCATATATGGTAGGGATTTACGTGCCAAACCAACGACGGGCATCTGGCACGCCCCAGCGAAGGACGGAGGAATTATTGGACCATTTGGGGATCTTTTGACTTGCAACCGTAAGCTCGATTACACCAGTGCCTTCTCCGCAATAAGCCTTCCCAGATTGCGGGCACCTCGGCCGAGATTCAAATCAACCTCCTGGTGAGCCGGGCGATCTCGCCTCGGAGCCATCGAGGCGGCAAGGGTAACTTTACAAAAAAAAAGTAGTTCGCATTGTTTCCTAAAAAAAAAAAGAAAAGGAGCACTGAGCAAAGAAGCGAAAATAAGAAGAAACATACATCACTTGGATTTTCTCTGTACTTATTCGATTAATTCTTCAATCTGAGGTTACTTATATTCAACTACGTAAACACTGACCTTCTCCAGTTTCGCCTCAAACCTTTGTGATATTCACTCGTGTCAAAAAATTTTAGTCATTACGACACGAGTTGGTAAGGTATTGAATATAAAATATTTATTACTCGCATATAAAAATGAGTCCACTTTTCATTCGCTTCTTTTTTTCTCACAAACTTTCTTTTTACATTTTTTATGTACGCTATTGTCTACATTCTTGAATTCTATACTTCTCAGTTTAGTTCACTAAAACAACAGACGCACTGAAGAAGACGCGTCAAATCATTCGCAGGTGAAAAGTGAAGATCCTTTTTTTTTTTCTCAACTATTTTGCGTTTCCGTTTCTTTTTTTTTTCTCGTTTTTTTGCAAAGGTTTATCGAAATAAAATAATTACCCCCCCCCCCCCCCCCCCCGGGTCTATTTCGCTCCGACAAGCCCAAGAGGGCACAGTCTCACCTTGGCGAGCATGCTGAACAGAAAGCTGTCGTCTCGAGAGAAGCTGACCGTGGAATGTCCGAAGCTGTTCTGTCTTCAAGGAACCTGGAGTGTTTTGACTACTGCCTAGGACACGGCCACCGTTTTATAGCCAACGGTGGCACACAAGGGTCGCTCTACCGCAGAGCTAGGCGAGGAGGATTGTTTCGACGTTTTTGCTTACATAGACGTTTCAGTCACTCGTTTACGGTGTGTAGCGTTAGCTGAGATCGCGCGTCTCACGACGTTCGTGTTCTTTTCGTTGCCTTTTCTCTTTCTTTGCCACCTCCTTGCCGCGTCACGAGACAGCGTGTCTGACCTCTATGTTCCCGCGATTACGTTGGTGACACATTAGTTAAAAGGATACTTTGGTGACGCGCTCAACGCTTTCGGTGAAGCTCACCGGAACCCGAGCATAATCTTTACTTCATTTATCACTACTTTTACTTACATTTGCACTTCACACACTAGTGGTGCCCTGGGTTTTCTGAGGTTCCCTAAATATAAACTCACTGTGTGGGCTCTATGCGTCCTGGAAACCCATAAATCATAAGGATGCGCGGCCGATTTCCGGATTAAATAAGCAATCAAAGATCGAACACACTGAGGCCATCTCTGGTGATGGGAGGAGCATTGTGCCGGCAGCCAGGACAACATGTGACCAATGAAAACGCGACATTTTGTTGAGATTGCAAACGCTGGTCTTTACAAAAATGTGTATGTTTTGTTAGGTTAAAAAAGTAAATAAGAGTAGTCGAAATATGTTTTTTTTTTTTTATCAGAGAGGGAACATTATACTGTAATAATTATCTCAAGAACAGTGCACTGTTTTAGAGCGCAACTTTAGGCGCCCGTTTCCGGCATGAGCGGCGTTGCTGTCGACGTCGGCGTAATCGCGCGTTGCGTTATGGGATGTTTCCCATAATGACGTCACATGTGACGTCACGTTTGACGTCACAAGGGTAAAATTTCCCCGCTAAATTTGGCGGGGAAATTTTACCCTCATGACGTCACCCCTGTCCCTTTCCTCCGTACCCTCCCCTTCTCCTCCTCCACAAGAGCTGCGCTCTAATTCGGCATTGCAGGGAATGGTAAACGAACTTCATTTGTTTTTCTCGCTGGGTTGAATCGCTGCCAGTGCTGTATAGACAACGAGCCGCGCGCATTTGAGATATCACTCCGCGGTTCCACCGGCGCGAATATCCTTCGCGTGCAGTTGGCTGAAAGTGGTCCTGGATTCGAAATACGCTCCTCCCATCGCCGGAGATTACCTCGGCGTGCAGCAATCTTTGATTGCTATTTTGTAGGGGAATAGGCCGCCTGGATTCATGATTTGTGGATTTCTAATATGCTTAGGGCCATCAAAGTGAGTTATCGCCATATTTAGGCGATCTCAGAAAACTCCTCAGGGAACTTAAAAAACACTTCGTCTGTCCAATTCAAAACTTGTTCACACAGCACTGAGTTCAGGTGTGGTTACATTGAGAATCTGAAGTATTCCAGGCAGGAGATATCAGTAACGTGTCATCATTTTCGATAACTTTGTCAACCTGTGTTTTTGTTAACTTCTAATTATCACGGCAGTTTCAATACAATACGGAAACTTAGCGAAGATGATAAATTCTCAAGCCGTACAACCAGGGAAAGGACAACTGCGTGGTCCACGCGAAGCATTTTATCTTGAAGCGTATACTTCACGCCTGCGCAGCTCAAGGTGAAACAGAAAACACATACACACATTTTAACCTTCGACGCTACAAAATTATAATAATTCAAGAATAGGGTATTAAGACAAGATGAGCGCAGTGCCCTGACCGATGTGGAGACATCTCAGCTGAGTTGTGATGCTTGAACCGAATTGAGACGTTCAGTTAAACTGAAAACTATATCGCAATAAATCTTCCAGGGAAATTTTAAATTCTAGTCAAATCCAAAACGTAGCCAGCACGGAAAACATCCAGCCGAGTAAAAAAATTCGAGTTGCACTGAGCATCTCGCCAATTTGGAACATTCAGCGACGTTTAAACCTTCCGCCGAACGAACACATCAACCAAAACCAGATGGCACCAATAAACCATTCAGACCGCCTATTCATGGGTACAAGACATCATCAATTAAATGTCTTCACGTCTAGAAAAGTTCGGCCTCTTCGGGACATTGCAAACTTTTTACTGATGTCATGATATCACAACGTGATATTCCATCAATGGCACTGCATGACGTCGACACCTCTTTTTTATGATGACCTCCAGGATCATTTCAAAGAAATGGCTTTATCGTAATGATGGTAAACTATCAAATTGACTATCGAAAATAGTCGGGCACCATGACAGAACAGCTCACGACAAAACAGCATGGTCAAAACAGCACGTGTCCAAACAGGGCGAGTCAAAACAGCATAGTGTCAAAAGAGCACTGCGACAAAACAGCACGCGTCAAAATAACACGCGACAAAACAGCACAGTGTCAAAACGGCACAGCGACAAAAGAGCACGTGCAAAGAAAGCACGGCGTCAAAACAGCACAGCGTCAAAACGGCACAGCGACAAAAGAGCACGTGCAAAGACAGCACGGCGTCAAAACAGCACAGCGTCAAAACGGCAAAGCGATAGAAGAGCACGTGCAAAAACAGCACGGCAAAACAGCACAGCGTCAAAACAGGATATATACAATATAGCTAGGGTTTGACGTTTTCGGTTTTTATTATTTTAAAATTCAGCGTACTTTTTTTTCGTTTTTATTCCAAACAGAGGTTTTCGGTTTATTGCGGCGAATATGTGTACACTCATTAACTTCTCGGTTGTTTTCGGTTTATTGGCAAAAACCAGCATACTGACAAAAATGCAATATTCAAAAGCGTTTGTTTAAAATATATAGTGAGTAAACCAGGTACTGGTTTTCTTATTTGTTGCTGTCTGTGTCAGCCGACGCGACCTTTTCTGCAAGACGCACTGGGATCCTATCGTGATCTGACATTATCAACGTGTGCTCTTATTTGCACACAGGACAAACATGAGGTTTATTACCACTTCGGTCGGAGAGGCAAATATGAAAATCGAGAAATTGGCCAGTATTGTACTCAGTGCGTTTTTTTCCCCTTTTCGTGACTGCGAGAGTTGGTAAATTCACGCCGACCACAGGAACGACAATAAAAATATCGTTTTTAGGCCCTCCTCTAGTAGACGGAGGCTAGGGGTGTTCAAAACTGTGCGGCAATTTCCGGACACCCTTGATTTACTTTGTACCGTTCACGATTAAACTCTTTGTGAACAAAGAATTCGGCACATAAATCCCTATCATGTGAGAAAACCAGATTCCGTCCTGAAGACCCCTGCGCCCCCGGAGCTTTTGTTGAAAGCTGAACCGACTTCGGAGACAAGCTGAAAACTGCGAAAGCAAGTGGTCCTTCGGTCAGTAATGAGCAGTGTTAGTGGGAACGCGTTACAGGTAACGGCGTTTCCAGGAACGCGTTACTTTTTTCAGTAACGTAGTAACCTACTCGTTACTTTTTCAAACCAGCAACGGGTAACGTATTTATGTTACTTATTTCAATTAACGTGTAATGCAGTTATGTTACTCGTTACTTCTTCTTCCCAAGACTTAAAAGAAATTACACTTAAATTTTTATTTTTCCAAAGAAACCGCTAGAAACTTAAGAAGACTCACACATAGAAACAAACTATAAGTCAAGACAACTTTCAACTTCAACACACGATCGAGGTTTAATTACGGCAAACAGTGGGCGTCCGCTGCTCTAGGCATGAACCCCCCCTTTTTATTTTCCTGAAAGAAAAACAAACAAATTGGGTTTGGGCCTGGGAATTTGTGACATGGTTTCATAAATTTCGTCATAAACCTGGGGTTTTCAACCTGCACCTCATAAGTCGCAACGCAGGCTGCCGGGAGGCCTGAGTCTTTTAGTAAGAGCTCCCGCTCCTGTGCTCCGGGAGCTGCAGTGCGCTCAGACATACCAACCG